TGTGTGTTCAAATGTAACTTACCCCATAAAATATGCCTGCTCTTTGTAATAGACAGGACAGTCTTGAGAGATTATTTTTTCTGTCCTTCAGACTGTTGGCTTTCTGTTAATAAAGCTTGGGTTGGATCTCTTCCTGTCTCTGTTACTGACTACAGTGACAGGTGGCACACCTGTATACCAAGGTGTTCTTGTTGTTGTTAAATGTTCCGACCCATAGTGACCCTGTACAGGGTTTCTGAGGAGCAGCTGGTGAGGACTCCAATACCATGGTGAGGTCTGTACAATTCATTTTCAGGGTTATACAAGAAGTGAGGAAAAATTGTGATTCCCAAACCATGCAAACTATCACCCTGTGTGTGTGTGTGTGTTTTTTTTTTTTAATGTGAAATAAATTGTAGGGAGAAATAAAGAAGGCAGAGACTTGTTGAATAGCTATTGCAGTAATTCATATGAGAGGTAAATACTGATTCTACTGGTGGAAATGTTGAAAGAACAATTCAATAGAGGTTTAGGCGGTAGAATATCTTACCTGCTGCTGGATCATATGATGCATGAGATGAGTGTGGTAGATCGAAAATGAGGAGGGATATTATAAAAATGCAATTAAAGGTGAGGCTGAGCTTATTGTCTTGAGTTACTTACATAAGACTGGTGCTTAGTGTATCATTGAAAATCAGAGGAGGACAGGGTAGTGGAAAAGCTAAGCTGAGTAGGGTCACCATGCCTCAGATTGCTGTGCACTGGAGCCGACCAAACGGCACCGAACAACAGCATTAAAGGTTGGTAAAGTAGAGGGTCAGTGAAAATGAGCAAGACCCTCAAGGACATGGATCGACAAAGTGTCTGCAGCAATGGATTCACACGGAGCCATAATTGTGGGTTATTGCCAGACTGGGCAGTGTTTCATTGTGGTGTCCACAGGGTTGCTGGGAGTTGGAACTCACTTGAGAGCATCGAACAAAAACATTCGCTATTGACTCAAGTGGTTTTGCCCTACACCATTTTAGTAATTTCCTCAATATGTAATGATGAATAAATGCTAGAGTTTTTCTAGCATGGTTTACTTTAAATAATTAAACATTTTGTCCTTCTGGGATTTCCTTTACTGCACATGTAAGGTGGAGGAAGGGTTTTCTTCCCTTCTGCTTCCCCCTACATGCTGGCCTCCCAGAAACTCCCAGTTCTTGTTGCAAGTGGGTATCTTAGTGCTGCTAGAACAAAAATATCACAGGTAGATGGATTTGATAGACAGAAATTTGTTTTCTCACAGTTTTGGAAGCTAGACATTTGAATTCAGAGCATCGGTTGCAGATAAAAACGCTCTGTCCGCACTTGGAGAAGATTCTTATCTCTTTCAGCGTCTCTTCTTTGGTCCCTTGGTGATCTCTCTGTGACATCAGTCTATCTCCATTCGTACTTCTCTACTTCTCTGCCTGGTATGTTCCTTTTATATCTCAATAGTGACTAACTTATGACACACATTTCATTGATAATGTCTCACCGGCATAACAAAGACAACCTTATCCCCAGTGGGATCACATCCACATATCCAGAGATTAGGATTCAAATGCATATTTTGGGGGGAAACACAATTGAATCTAGAACAGTAGGGAAGAGTGGTTTGGAGTCCAGGGAATGAGGGCCAATTCAATACCAAAATACTGCAAATTGTTTGAACATATTGCATGACTTGGAGTGATAATAAGGACACATTTGACAGAACTAATGAAAGATGCAGCCCTGGTGTGATGCTGTAGGATAAGCATTGGACTGCTAGCCACAAGACTGGCAGTTCAAACCCACCAGCCACTCTTGGAAACTCTATACAGGGTCACTATTAGTTGGAAAAGACTCAAAGGCATATAGAAACAACAACAAGGAAAGAAACAGATAAAGTCACAGTAACAGTGGGCAAATACTCCTAGCTATGGGACTATGGTGGAAAAATGGTTTAGTACTTGACCGTTAACCAAAAAGCCAATGGTTTGAACCACAGTCACTCCACAGAAAACGAGACTTGGTGATCAGATACCATTAATATTACAACCCAGGAGACCCTCTGGGGTGGTCCTATTCTGTCACATAGGGTCTCTATGACTCGGAAGCATTTAGACAATACAATGACAACTCAAAAGTTGATATGACAAAATGCAAATATAAAAATTATTCATAAGAATTTACACATGCGTAACGATAATCACATTCTTGACTTAATGAGTATAGGGACATCCCCTCCACCTCAACGTGAGAATCCACATTTAGTTTTCAAATGAATGCTTTACAAAGACCAAAACTGGATACATGCTTGGCCTTAAAGGAAACCCTAACAGATTAAGAAAGTTTTGTCTGTGTTTTCTGAATACTGTGGAATCATATTATAGATCAATAAAAACAGATAACAAAATTCCAATCTGATCATTAATTAAATAAGTAAACTTTAAATAACCACAGCCAACTAATAGATCCCAGAAAACGTTAATGTTGTCAGTTGCCATGGTAGGTTCCCAACTCAAGCACAACAAAAAGTTGGACTGTGATTCATTGGGGATTAGACTCTTGTGTTCCACTGGGTTTGTCTGAGTGGAGAAGCTCCACTGAAACTTGTTCTCCATCATAGCAGCACACGTGTCTCCACTGACAGACAGGTATTGGCTGCACATGAGATTTACTGGCTGGGTTCAAAATTGGGTCTCTTGATTGGATGGAAGATGAGAATTTTATCACCAAGTCACCACTGTCTGACAGTATTACTGTTAGTTACCTCTGACGCAGCTTTATCCTCAATTACAAGAATCTCAAGGATTGTTTTCATGATAATAAAACAAGGATTGTTTTCATGATAATAAAACAAGGATTGTTTTCATGATAATAAAACAAGGATTGTTTTCATG